AAATTTTGTGATCTATGGGTAGGAAACGCTGGGTGCACCAGGGGAAGAGGCACTTGTGTTATGTGTGTCCCACTTGGGACTTGTGATTGCATGATTGGGATTTCGAGCGTCCTGCCATTCGGAAGGAAAGGATTGGTTTGTGCCGGCCGGTACGGGACGCGGTTTGGTCGTCCTCTTTGAAGTTCACCGGGTTCCGTATGTGGGGGTCGGGCCACCGGATTGTCAGGCAGGGGTCGGTCTCGTCGGCTGATTAGTAGCATTCTCACCCGAGCGGTCCGAGCATGGTTCGATGACCTTGCCCAGGCGGGATGTGAAACCTCTTCAGGCGGGGCGGCTGCTTGTCGGCAGACGGTAGGGGGACCACTGCATATGGGGCAAGGAAGGAGCCTCGGAGGCGATTAAAAGCTTCTCGTAGCATGGCTTGGGAAAAGCTGTTCCTTATCGGACCGATGGACGTGAATGCCTGGACGGCTGGCTCCAATGGCCCTACTGAGAGGTGCGGGGTGATTCCCGAGATTAACGGTGGGTACACGAGCGGCAAGTCGGGATGGGGTATTCTGGGTAAGGAGGAAAGGGTGAATGCCTTACCGAGACCTGGGTACCGCACTCGCGACGGTTGAGCTGCGCTTGAGGTATAGGATAAAACCCTGCCAATAGTAACAGTGGAGAGACCATTTCCTGGGAAAAGGTCGGTGAGGAGATGACCGACCTGTGTGCGACGTTTGCCTGAGTTTTGCTTTTTGTGCCTCCCTCTGTAAAGTTGCCTGATGAATGTTGGCAGGGGACTGAGCTTCTAAGTCTATTCTCACCTCCAAGTCTAAGTCCGCACGAGTGACAGAACATGAGGGAGAGGTTGGATAGGAGTCGGAAGAAAGTGGAACCAAGAAAAGGAATGCGAGCCACTGGTGATCGATTGGGGGTATGGTAGGGCAATGGCACCTGGGAAATGGATAAGAAAAGTTAGGGGGACTCGGATGAGGGGTCTGAAAACAACTCTCATCTAGAAAGGGAAAGCAAACCGTCTGACCATGAGGGGCCGTGTGGTGCTCTCATGTGGAAAACAGGACAAGCGTCGGGGAAACAAGATGGCGCGATGGTTGTCACCTCCGGTCTACTCTAGTGGCCCGGAGATGCCTATAGACGTAAGGGGTGGGGTGTCTGTTGTTCTCCCGGAAGAAGGGACGTGGACCGACCTGGAGCCAGCCTATGAAACTGTGATGCTGGACGAGAAGGGCGCGTTCCTCTGGATAGAAACAATCTGGACTAAGGTCAGCCTGACGAGACTTTCACCTAGCTTGATGGACCTAGAATTTCGGGGAACAGTGGAAGCTCGAGGATGGGTCTACCTATCATAGGAATTGGAAAATGCAATGGTAGTGGGACTAGTGCTGGGCACGACACCGGATCAGCTGTTTAGGCAAGCGGAACGGGAAGTGGTATGGGCAGCGTGTCAGCGGGCAGAAATGGAGATGGAAAGGATGGAGGTACGAGTGGAACTTGGGGACCGGAAAAAAATGAGACGACCTCTTAGGACAATGCGGTGCGTGCTGCCCCCGTTTCTGGTGGATGCAGTCTTTGGGACCAGGAATAGACTGGAACGTATATGCCAGTCAATGGCACGGCTGAGGTTGTACCAGTGTGCTAGACAAGACTTCTTTAGACTGTCGGTGGAAGCGGGGCCGTTTGAAGGAAATTGGGCGGAGGAATTAGCTGAGGTGTTAAACCTCCTCAGCGCGGACGAAGTTTTTGTTCCTAGTCCGGTGCATTGGCAGATATTACTGGGACTTCTGAAAGGGGGGGGGCTTACCTAGGGGAAACAGGTTGTCGACTATGTGCAGGTAGGGAGCGATGGCCTGGGAACTCGAATTATGGGGCTGCACATGGGAACCAAGACCAGTCGGAAGGGGAGTAGAGATGTCAGTACCACCAAGCAATGAATGGAAGGGGACCACATGTGATTGGCGGGGATATGAGATTGTGTCGGAGCTGTGATACCTATGGATAGAACGTGTCTGGAACCCGTTGAGGGAAGAGGAAGGATGGGAAGAGATTGCGGAAGGAAGGGTGGAATCGGCTGCGACGATTGTTCTCTCGGAACAGGGCTGGCACCTGTTCTGCACGACGCTCGCTGCAGGACAGAACCCGATGTGGCTTTTAGGGGACGCTAAGGCAAGGGCTCGACGGGCGGGGGAAAATTTTGCTAATAAAGGGTGGGATACGGTCAGCAGTAGAGTCGTGATGGGAGGATGGAAGGAATTTAAGCCGCCCGGTAACCGAATCAAGACCTGGGTACCCGAGTTCGTGGCAGACTGGTTTGGGGGTTTTGATCATGTAACAGAGGTAGCCGACACGATGGAGCGAATACATGTGAATTGCACTTGGCTGGCAGGGGAATTCTATAGGACATCCTTGAAATACGGACCCTTCCATGGCGACAGAGCCCGGGAGGTTCTTATCATTTTGGACATTGAAAGGAATGACCGGCAGGAAGTGGCCCCGGAAACTAGGGAGGCCATAATCCGCCGTGAGGTAGCAGCAACACCTTGCTACGTGGATGATGTGGCAGGAAAGTTGAAGGACGAGGCAAATATGGGAAAAATTGCTAAGAAAAGGGAATGGGATGTTTGGTCGTTGTAGGGATTCGGTGCGGATCGTGAGCTAGGAGATCAAGGACGAGTGTGCAATGGCGCGAAGAAGGACGTTTCTTGAGGAACGCCCCCTGGGCATTGAACCGCCTAGGGAAGTACCGGGTGGGATAGAAGTTAGCTTGCCGGCGGCAAGTAAAGGCTGGCACCAGGTGGCAGATTGGGTCAGGGTCGAGCTTGAGGAAAACACCGTTTACTTGGTAACGAAAGTTGAGTGGCGTCCGGATGAGAACGGGGAATGGAACCCGGACCCGAGGAGGCATATGCGTGCGGTAGGGCGGTTATATATGTCGAAGGATGGGTGGCGGGAGTTCGGAGTTCGGTTGGCATCCGGGGGAGATCCGTCAAATATGTTTGAAGGGGCGTGGCAGCTAGTGTGGCAGGTAGGATTCGAATTTGCGGACCCGGAAACGGATGATGTAACGGCGGACCTTAGGGTAGCCATGGCCGGAAGCTTCGAGCTGCCCAGCGAAAATGTGCGGATGAGACTACCTCCCTTCTTGCTGGAAAGGATGGGCGGCTGGGACTTGTTAGGCAAGCAGCAGCCGACCTTGCGAGCCTGACATATGAAGATGCGATGGTACATCGAGAGTATTATCGGGCCTTCCTAGAAATGGGGCCGTTTAGCGGTGAACAGAAGTACGAGGTGTTGCGCATCCTGCGCACTGTGTTTGGCACTAGACCAAGGGCTCCGGTCGTGGGAAGTGAGGTCCTGTGGGGCGTCGTTCGATGGGAAATAAACCAAGGAATGGCGTACGTAGATGATCTGTACCGATTATTTGAGCAGACGGAGGAGGGGACAGGTCGGTAATAGGGCCAAGGAGAGGGGAAAGAAATAGAGGGGGGAAAAAAGTGTCAGGCTAGGAATCGGGGAGTTGTTCGGGCAGACGAATGAAGACCAAGGGAATAAGTAAACTTGCATGCTGTTTAAAACTGTGCAGGGGACTACTAAGTCGGAAATGGTGATGAGACGCGCCCGGATGCCGCGACGATCTATGCACCCGCGGCCACCCACGAAAAACGGAGGTGGATGGGAGGTGTCGCTCCCAGCAAGCTAAGTGATTCAAGGACTGGATACCGAATGGAGGGCCGTGACCCTGGGAAGAGGTCAGGCGTTCATGATGGTGGAATGTTTGTGGGATAGCATGAGAATCAATAGGGGACCAGGGGACGATCTGTATACTGATCTCAGGGTGACAGGAACAGTATACCTGTCAGAGCTCGGGTGGCACATGCTAGGGACAAAACTGGCACTAGGGCATGGGTTGTTGCCAATCTTCCAAAGGGCTACTAGGGTACTAAACCGAGTAGGCCAGGAGGTGCGGGGGAGAAGGAATGTGGGGATAAGGACCCGAGTGGAGGTAGGAGGTTGGCGAGAGTTTAAGGCCCCAATGACAGGACTGAGGTGCCGAGTACCTCGCTTCATGATAGACCTGGTATTCGGCAGCCTCAAGAGGGCAAAGGATTTGGTGGACTCGACCTTGGTTTGGATCCACCTCTTCCGGCCACAAACAACGAGCATGTTCTACGACGTGTCGGTCAGACATGGGCCGTTCTGGGGGAATCAGGCCTGGGAACTACTCGAATTACTCGAGATTTTGATATTCGGATTGCCCCACCTGTCGTTTGAAGAATATAAACCAATTGTCATTAGGGAAATAGAAATGGGGAAAAATTACCTTGCTGGGTTGGCTGACCTGTTCGAGGAACCGGATGAGCAGGGCAGGCCTGAGGGACCAGCATGAGAAAAGGTGTCAGGAAGAAGTAGGGAAATAGAGAGTGAGTACTACGATAAGTAGGCAGCCATCAGCAAAAGAGAGGCAGTGGTTGGAGTTCCGGCCGACCCGAGGATGCGGCAGGGAGGAACTAGGAAGACCACCCGCGCCAAAGATCCTGGGGCACCTGGATGCCAATAAGCCGAAAAGGCCATTCCCGATAAGGAAGCCATTGGGCTCAGGTACCACCCTAAGAATCAAAGCGCGACAATAATGAAATGTCAAAGCAGTGGCGGCAAGGTTCCGGTAGAAGAAAACCTGAAGGACGCCCGGGAGAGAAAAGACAGAAGAGTCGTACTGATTAATGCAAGACGCAAAAATATGGGAATAGGCGGGTTTTAGGGCCGGGACTAGGGCAGTTGTGAACAATCGGCCGCCTTTTCGCCAAAAAATTTTTTCCATGTGCAGGCTAGGTAAAGAAATGGCAACGGAGGAAGGGATCGATGACCAGCAGAGCGGAGGGAATCAGGTCACGAATGGGAATGGGGAACGAAATGAGGGATCAGCCAGGGATCGAGAGTCAGCCAAACTGGAGGGGACCCGATAAGACGAAAAGGGCACCTCGATTGGAGAAAGCTCGGGGAAAACTGGGGGTAGCAAAAGGGGACCTCAGGAAAACAGGGAAGGGGGAAACGATATGAGAACAAGTCCTCGGAACTCAGCAGGAGCCACCCCTAAAAAGACGAAAGTCTTGGATACCAGTCATAAACTGGCAGAGATAGAGAAGCCGACTGCGGAATTTAAGGCAAAACTTATCGAGCAGATGATGGCCGGGGATGAGGAAGACCTCCAGGACGCAGGGTCACGTGAGGGATGCAGGGCCGGCCAGGACGAGGCTAGGTATGAGGGGAAGGATGATAGTCACAAAGGAACGCCTGGCAAGAAGGGGAAGGACAAGAGCGACCTCCCGGCGGAAGGAACGGAAAACGCTATGACCCCACCCGCCATTGACAGCGGCACTAACAGACTACCCGCCACGCCGAAAGTAACAGGGGCGTGTGACGGACTCTGGAGCCTTAGGGAGAGAGTGCTAGGATGGTTCGACCCAGAAGGAACACCGAAAACTAGGGAGAGGCAGAGGGAAAGCAAGGAAGGGGAAGGAGCCAGTGCAGTCGGGGAAGCGGGTGGCTCCGAAGACGGGCTCAAGAAAGTAGTCGCCACCCTCAACAGGACACTGAACAAGAACCAGGGGTATCTCGCAGATGCAAAAAAGAAACTCACGTTCGGTGGGGCCAACATTACGGAGTTTCTAATAGACTATGAGAACCTAGCAGCCTTACTGAAATGGACAGAGGAGGAAAAGATGGAGCACCTAGGACAACACGTATCGCTAAGTTTGGGAAGGGATATTATGGCCATCGTCGCCTCCAGTGGATCCTGGAAAGAGACCAGGAATGAGATGATGAGGAAATACCTGAAGGCAGAAAAAATGGCAACAGAGGCAGAATTAGTCGCAGTCCAGAGGAAAAACTATGCGACCTACAACGATTTCCTGAGGGCGTTTACGCCAGTGGCTCTGCGAATTCCCGGGGTAACAGACCGCATAATGAGCAAGTACTTTCTCAGGCAGTTCTCCGAGTTTCATAAGGATAAGATTTTGTCGGCATACCAGCAGACCAGTAAGTTCGAATACACGAGAGATGTGGACTTCAGCACCGTAACAGACCTTGCGGAAAAGACGGTGGTCACCGCGACGCTAGCCCTACTTAAGGAAGGGGAGGTCATAGATTCTACCGGGAAGACAGGGGATAAGGTCAAGAAGGGGATAGAGAACCTGCACGAACGGGTGCACGGGGTTGATAGCAAAATGGACAAAATGGAAAATGCACTGTTAGTAATGCAGGCGCAAGTGTCCAGACCCGCTCTTCCGCCCCAAGAGGCCGTGGTTCCAGCAGCTGTAGCAAACTGGGGGTTTGGCAGGAGGGACCCCGCCAACGAACAATGCAAGTATTGCACCATGATCAGGCATTTCATATGGGCCTGCCCGAGACTCAATCACGATATCGAGCGGCAGAGGTGCAGTAGGTCCCTCAAAGGCGAGATCCTCGGACCCAGGGGGGAGCGTGTTAACTGGAACTCGCCAGGAGGAATGCGGCGAGCCTTCATTCTCCTGAATAACCTAGAAATAGCTGCCATAGAAGCAGAGCCGATAGCCGACATTGTCTGGGACCAGCCGAGGGGACGGGGACCATAGGCTAATTTTATCCTAGAAGGCAATAGCCAGGATAAGGTAAACATCACCACTCGACGGGCCGGCGCAGAAAAGAAGCTTGTCCAAAATACAGTAATGGAAGAACTCGCAGGGACTAGCACGGGCCAGCAAGAGGCCGAAGCCGGGGAACAAGAAAAGGTTTATGCGAAAGTGAGGGAGGAGGAACCGGTAGACAAGGTTACAGCGGCAAAAACAAAGTTCAGGTATCAAATTCCGATCCTGACTTCGCCAGAAATCGATGGCACCTTGAGTAAGTTACTAGGTACCATGGTGTCAGTGTCCTTTCAGACCATGCTGCAGGCCAGCCCGAGGCTGCTTAAAGGACTCAGGCAGGTGCTAACGCGTAAGCGCGTAGAGGTAGAGGAGGCCCCGGAACTGCAAGAACAAGGGACGAAAGAGGCCGAGGCGCCGCAAGGACTCTCTAACCTCCAAAGCATCACAGGGGGCCTGGAAGACTTGGAAAAAGCCTTTGATGATATTCGCCTGAGCCTGCCGGACCGAGAAGGTGGTGAAGTCATGAGAGCACCGCCCGGAACTAAACTTAGCTTTCACGCACTGCCCGTAGGAAAGCTTAAAGTCCAGATCGGAACTCACCACACCGATGCATTAGTGGATGGCGGCGCGGAAATTACCCTCATACGACGGGATTTCGCAACAATCACCGGGTGCACAGTAAACAAGGAAGTAGCCGGGAGTATTAGGGGAGCAGGTGGTGAAATCCCCTTCACTGGGTATGTCACCAAATGCGCGGTCAGGGCGGGAGTTCGAGAATCCATCTGGTCTTTCCAACGGATGACCGTCATGGAAGAAATGGACCATGACATAATCCTTGGGAGACCATGGTGTGCCAATGTAGAAATGATTGACATGCAATTGCATGACGGCACGTACATGGTAGACATAGAAGATCCGGTGACTGGTCGCGGGGAACTCCTCCGACTCCTCGGAACTGGAGAGGATCCTCTGAAGGGCAAATTGGCAACCTGGTCGCCAACATTCGAAGAAAGTGCACGGAAAGGGGCATTCGCACGAATGGAAGGTATTAGGGAAAGGGTGGAAATTCTGATTAAGGAGGCTTTCAGTAAAAAGGAATGGATCAAAATGGGCTTGCCCGTAAAGAAGAGGAGGCCAGAAGGCGAGTCCCTGGAAGTTATGGTGGCGGAAATAGAGTCGGAAGTCGAACTTGGGGCCAGCCTGCCTAAACCAAAGGAAGGCCGGAACGAAACGTCGGAGGTAGTACTTGAGATCCCAGATTTATTAGAACTCGCTAAGGCCATCAGGTACCACAAAGTGGGGGTCGACCTCACAGCGCTTGCCAGATTTGAGGAAGGGGTTCGAAAGGGCTACTGTCTGAATGGGAAGCTAGTCAGCATCCAGCCCCGCGTTGTGGAAGTAGCAAGGCCGATCCCGACCGTTCATTTTTTAGGAGAACGATCCCCGAAGGTAGTGTGCGAAAGTATAAACCCGTAGGCAAGAAGGCCAAACCGGTCTCAATCCTAGTAGAAACGTCAAAGGAAGGGGCCATGGAAAAGGAGGAGGAAATCTTGCGGGTAATAAGGGAGAGGCGAGCAACGGAAGGGCATCGCATACCAGATGAAGTAGCAGATACCATGAAGATAGGAGTGGAAGGGTTTCTAACAGCGGAAGAAACTCAGTTGATAAGAAAAACATGTCAGCAGTTTCATTTAGCTTTCGCCTTCAACGATCATTAGAAAGGACGATTGGACACAAAGCTAGTTCCCCCTGTCAGGATCCACACCGTACAGCACGAGTGTTGGAATGATAAAGGGCCCGCCTATGAGTTTGGGATAGCAGCGGAGGTCACCGACCTGCTTAGAGCCAAGATTAGAGCCAAGATAGATTCGTTCGTCGTTGAACCCACCGCATCCCCCTACGCGAACAGATGGTTCGTGTTCAGGAAGCCCAATAAGACACTCAGGTGGATCCAGGATCTCCAGAAGCTCAATGCGGTAACAATTAGGGACGCAGGCTCGCTTCCACACGCCGACTTATTGGCAGAATCTCATGCAGGGCGGAGCATTTACTCCCTGGTAGACTTGTACTCAGGATAGGATCAGTTGCCGCTCGACGCGAGGGATAGACCGTATACCGCAATGCACACCCCCTAGGACAATTGCAGATGCAAGTGACCCCTATGGGCTTCACAAATGCGGTAGCAGAAGCTCAGAGGAGGATGCTCGCCGTCTCAGGGGATATGTTTCCGGAGAAGTGTGAACCTTCCATAGATGATAACCCCGTGAAAGGTGCAAGAGACAAGGATGAGACGGAAGTACAACCGGGAGTGTGGAAGTTCGTTTGGGACCACAGGCAGGATATTAAGGACTTACTCCAACGATTCCTAGTCTACGACATTACTGCAAGTGGACCCAAGAGCATCCTGGCCGTCCCGGAAGTAACCATACTGGGATTTCACTGTGGAGTTTATGGGAGGAAACCCGATCCAACAAAGACTGACAAGATCTCTCAGTGGCCGACACCCCTGCATACCACAACGGAAGTACGAGCCTTCCTAGGGGTGGTGGGATTCTAGAGGATCTTCATCAAAGGCCTCACAAAGATAGCAGAACCCATCCGCGCGATTATTAGGGAAGGTGGCACTATGGATTGGACCGAGGATAGGGAAGAGGCAGCCCACACCCTGAAAGACATCCTGTCATCATATCAGGTCACATTAGCAGCACCCTGTTTCAATGACGAGGTTGGACGGCGCTTCATCTTAGAAACAGACGGGGGACCATTGGCAGTGGGAGTATTATTGATACAGAAAAGCGAGGAGGGCAAAGAAAGGCCAATCAGATTCGAAAGTAGGACCCTGAATACAGCAAAGCGACGGTATTCGCAGTTCAAGAAGGAGGTCCTAGCAATTTTGCATTGTCTTAAGACCTTCCAGGCCTACCTGTTCGGAAGGCGATTTATCCTAAGGATTGATCCCACCAACGTTGTCGGGGCCCTAAAGAACGACAAGCCCATAGACCCAACCGTTGGCAGGTGGATAGGCTTCATATGGCAATTCGACTATAATGTCGAGCGGATTGCGGGGCTTCGAAATAGGGCAGATGGGCTGAGCAGGGTATGCATCACGGCCGAAGGAGTAGAGGACGAGGAACCAATCGACGCCTTCCTGGAGTATGAAGGAGGGACCCTTGTGGTGGATAATGAGATGGCAGATCCAACAATTACAACAGGTCAGGTGTTGATTCAGACCTTGGAAAAAGGCGCGCCTCCAGTAGTTGTAGAACTCAGGGAAGGACCAGTCACCTCGGTCAGACGCAAAGAGGAAAAGGACTCGTGGGGAGCAGAAGTAGGGGCCAGAGAGGAACTGATGGCAATGGCCGTGGAAGGGGGACGGGATGCTGTGATGACGTTGGCCGAAGTCTGGGCACGGAAGGAGTGTCAGTACTTAGTCAACCTCACTCGGTGGGAGCAGGATGCGGATCAGAACGAACAGGAATTCTTCCTCATACAAATGTATGAGGGCGTTTTCAAAGAAATCGGTTTGCTGCTTGTAGGGAACAAACAACCCACGAAAGTCAGTCTCAATGCAAGGGAGGAAGTAGAAAAGTACGTCCTAAGAAATGACCACCTTTTCAAGAGAGAGGAAGGGATGATGCCTAGACGCGTCGTTTGTGGAAGGTCTAGGCAGCTGGACATAATTCAAGCAATGCACGACGGACTAGCTGGGGGTCACCGGTCGTCAAAAGGGACACTTGCAAAGATTGTGCCCCTGTATTTCTGGCCAGGAATGGCAGGAATGGTCGCAACGTACTGTCAGACGTGTCTGATATGTCAAGAGAGGAGCTCCGTACGGGTTTACGAGCCCCTTAGACCCACCCGGGTACTGGGACCCGGACACCTTGTCCACCTCGACCTCGCCGTTATGCCCGTATCGACGGATGGGTTTAGATACATCTTGGATGCAAGGGATAATCTCAGTGGCTATGTAAAAGCCGTAGCCCTCAAGAAGAAGACAGGGAAAGCAGTGGCCGACTGGGTGGAAGACTTCTACCTAAGGCACCCCTTCGTGCGCAGGTTTATAGCAGACAATGGGACAGAATTCGTTAATCAGGAGGTGTTGAACAGGCTTAAGACACTTTGTGTACCGATCAAGATCACCGAGCCCTACCATCCTGAGGCAAATGCACCAGTAGAAAGGGGTCACCAGACTTTGAAGAACACAATCACAAAGTTGGCAGCAGATAATTTGGGAAACTAACCACGGTTTCTCAAGCAGGTAGTCTTCGCTGAGAACATGACTCCAAAAAGAACAACGGGGTGTATTCCAGCAGAACTCTGGTATGGAAGGGAGATCGATTTTCCGATAGAAGCGTTGGTCCCTACCTGGAACAAGCTAGATGGCGACCCACACTTGAGCACGGAAGAGTTAATCACCGCACGTTGTAAGCAGGTCGCCAGAAATGAGGAGGCACTCGAGGAAGTAGTCAATCGTGTGACGGATAGCCGAATGAGGGATAAAGCAAGATGGGACCAGGTTAAGAACATTCGGAAGGAGCCACTCCAGGTGGGGGAAAAGGTGCTAATTAGGAACTCGGCTCTTGAAAGCACATGATCCGGGCAGCTGGGAAAAAGATTCAAAGGACCTTACAGAATCGCTAAGCGGGTCGGACTGAACACATTTGAACTTGAGGATCTCGATGGTACCAGCATAAGAGGACCATTTCCGGGACAGAGACTGGTCAGATTTTTTAGCAGGGATCCGGTGGAACAGTGGCTACAAGAAGCCCAGGACAGGGAAACTGGGGGATTGACAGACTGAAAGGCGGGGCAGCTGGCTATAAGTTCTCGACCGCCTCCCTGTGGAAGTGATCATGACCACAGGGATTGTTCGTTTTGTGTGTCTTGACGTTGTGGAACGTGGGGAGACTGCCTGGGCTGACTGTGACTGGGCTTGGGAGCACGGGACAATGTGTTATAGTTTTTTGTGGGGTAACGTTGGGGACTGTCTACACGAGGTATTTATGTGCTGGGACAATGTACCATAGTTTTTGTGGGGGGAGGTTGTGGATTACCTACATGGGGCATCTATGTGTTGGATAATGTGTCGAGGGTTCTAAGGGATAATGGGACTACCAACTATATGGGGGCAAGCGAGAGTTCTAGGGAAGCCTTCAAAGTTGCAAATGGGAATGGAAGGGAATGCGTGTGTATGAGGGGTACCGTGACTGTTATGTATGAATAGGACCAGGCAAGGAAGGAGTCGTAAACAGCAGAATGGAGTTTGGAAATGAAAACGACAGCAACGCTATCAACAGGCCTACGGAGGGACAACCATCTAGGCAGGTCGGGGAATCAAGCTCCAGGAAGAGGAAGTTGTACGTGGGGTTTGATCACAATCTAGTGGTAAACAGAGGACGGAAAAAGCAGGGGACCAGAGGGCCGTCACCAGTAAAGGAAGGGGAGCCAATAGAGCTGCCTTCAGACAGTGATCCTAGCAGTGACGAAGAGAGGAACCCGGGGAAAAGACCAAGGTTGGACGAGGACGTGCCCGTGGGATTTATCGACCTCACCAGCGACGAGGAGGAAGATGAGATAACAACGCCCACAAGAGAGGAACGGGGAAGAGGGGAGCAGCCGACTGAGAAAAAGGACAAATGGATAGAAGAGTTTGGATATGAGTTCAGTGATTGGTTCAATCAATGGGGCACTATCTTGCGATACCGGTGGATCATGAAGGCAAGGGAGAAGTTGGGCAGGGGAGAGCGTTTAGCCCCAACAACCTTCTTCACAAAACAGACACTCCTTCAGTTCCAAGGAATAAAGAGGCAAATGGAGCAGGAAGGGGAGAATCGCGCAAGGAGGGAGGCTCAATGCAGGCCACCTGGACATTAGGGGAACAACAGGCGCAATGGGGGGGGGCTGCCACTCTGAACTTCGCATTTGAACTCCTCTATGAATGGACCTTCTAAAGCCCGAAATGACTAAGGACTGGGTAGTCAGTGCTACTTTGAACAAGTGGTTGCTTCTGCAAGGAAAGGCATGAGCTTGTTGCAATTAGAATAGAACTCTGGATGGCTGGGTAGATTAAGGAGGAAGAAAAAGGGGAAACAGCGGGGACCTAGATGAGACGAGTCTGTAATGTTGTCATTGCATTCGAACTTTGTCTCCCTTTTTTTTTTGAAAGGACGATAATGAAACTACTTTTTGGACTGAAGAAACTATTGGGGGATGAGAGGCTTGTGCTACTTTGTATGAGTATTCGCTTCTTCGGGGAAAAAACGTGAATTTTTTTTCTTGGTAGTGAGAAACGGACTTTGGGGAATGATTGACTTTGCCTCAAGGAAATAGGCAGGGGCATGTGAACTTTTGAACATTGGAAGATGCAGTCATGGCGAGAGTTCTTCGTTTTCGAAATTGTGTGTCCATGATTGAATGAGTCGCTCCACGAGTCCTTGTGAGAGGTTAAGGGACCTAAGGGTAGAGAGGCACCCTCTCCCCTAGGAGCCTAATCCAACCTACCCCAGGCAATCCCAGAGCCTTGAGAAGCATATGAGAAGTCAGAAAAGTGGCAAGGAAACATGGAAATGATGCAACACCCCCTGCAATGGTTGAACGGTCGAGCGGGCTAGTGCTGCTTGAGGCCGCAAGCCCCAATTTGAGTACTAGACGCTAAGTCGGATGTATGGATGGATGTAAGAGTGACAAAAGACATGAGGAAAAGGAAGAAGCATGCGTAAAAACCCAAAACGATGGCCGCCCTCTAACCCCCGAGACAAGATAGGATCCGTGCCCTCGAGGCCCACCCCCTCGGGCGCTAACATTGCAATGGACAGGGATGACCCTAGTCAAGCTGCCCAATTGAAATGGATAAGGATGGTTCTAACTAGGCTGTCCGATTGCAATGGATAAAAATGACCCTAACTAGGCTGTTCGACTTGGAATTGGAAAGAACGACCCTAACTAGGTTGTTCGGAATGGCCCCTGACAAGGGTCATTCTTTGGAATTGGCACTGGGGTCCCCTTGCATGGCTGCTTGGAATGCATGTTGGAAGAGCTGAGCTTTGAAAAAGGTATTGATGAGATATTGAGCCAAAGTTTGAAAGAGACATTGAGCTGAGCCTTGGATAAAGATTGGAAAGATCTGAGAGTGGAAAAAGATATGGGACTCAGCTTTGGAAAGGATATTGGACTCAGCCTTGGAAGAGACATTGCTTTGAGCATCGGACTGAGATTGAGCATGGGAATGAGACTGATTAGTAGAATTGGATTGAGTATTGGAAAATGCACTGCATAAACAGGGGGCCCTAGGCAACTTGAAATGGATTTGGAAATGGCATTGAAATGGATTTCTCCTTTCTTCTAGTCTTTGGCCTCAGCGAGAGGGGGATACCGGTGCACGCACCGCGACCCCAAGACCTCTATCCCTTTGAGGGGAAAAGTCTCAGCGCGACCTGCTCCTCCTTTAAGAGGATGAGGGTTAAAGGACTAAGGCACCTACCACTTGGACCGGTGTGGGACGTCCGGAACTGACCCTGACAATGAGCTCTAGTCGGGGAGTTTAAACTGCGCCTCCTATTGAGTACCTAAACGTCAAAGGGCGAGAGAGCCAAATGGGCAAGGAAGCCATTCTCATCTAGTCTATTTTGTCCTCTCCAACCACACGCCATGTCATAGAGGGGTGCCATGGCCGTTTGGGTCGGACCTCGGCTGCCCGCACTAAGTTGGGCGGCACTGTCCAAGGGGAGGGGCTTGGCGGAGCACCGGGTGGAGTCCACAGCCACCACGGGGCATTGACACTGCCCTGCCAGAGCATTACAACCGCTTCGGGACTAATCGTGAGGTCTTCGTAACTGCACTCGCGAACTA